GAGAATGGTGAGTTAAAATCCCCAAATATGAATATAAATTTGTCTATTTCCCCCCTTTAGTTCTGTCATTTTTTGGTTCATGTATATTATTGCTATGAGATCAGAAGTAACTGTGTCCTTATATAAAGAGTGGGTGTCTTGTAAAGAACATATGCTTGAGTCTTGTGTTGTTAACTGTCTGACAATCTTTGTCTTTTAACTGGAGTGTATTTTCACTTTTTGTTGAAAACTGAATATTTTTAAAATATACTTAACAACTTTAGCAGATCCCTCCCCCCCCACAAAATGTATACTCAATGTAATGTAGTCTGTTTAATCCACTGTCTTGCTATTTATTTTTCAGTTGTTCCTTCTTTTTCTCTTTTATTTTCTCTTTTCTTGGATTCTTCTGGGTTATTCAAGTTTTTTAAAAAATCATGCCACTGTTACCTCCTATGATTGTTTTTTACTTATACCTTTTTTAAAAATTCTTTTAATTGTCACTCTGTATATTACAATGTGCGTCTTTAAAGTATTAGTTTCTCTCAAACTTAAAACTTTTTACTACTTTTCAATCATTGCTAGTACATTACAAATCCATTTACCCTTCTCCCAACCCTTTATATGCCATTGTTATGATACATTTGACTCCTTCATATATTATGCATGCAACAAAGAAGTGATTATTGTCGTTGTTATTTCTAAGTTACATCCAAGTTAGTTAGCATATAGTGCAACAATATTTTCAGTAGATTCCAGTGATTCATCCCTTATGTATAACACCCAGCACTCATCCCAACAAGTTCCCTCCTTAATGCCCCTTACCCATTTAGCCCATCCCCCCACTCACAGTTTGTTTTCTGTATTTAAGAGTCTCTTATGTTTTGTCTCCGTTTTTATATTCTTTTGCTTCCTGTCCCTTATATTCATCTGTTTTGTATCTTAAATTCTTCATATAAGTGAAATCATCTGATATTTGTCTTTCTCTGACTGACTTGTTTCACTTAGCGTAATACCCTCTACTTCATGGTGTTGCAAATGGCAAGATTTCATTCTTTTTGATTGTCGAGTAATATTCCATTGTGTATGTATGCATGTAATGTATATATATATGCATATGTATATGTATATACACCACATATTTTTTATGCATTCATCTGTCAATGGACATCTGGGCCCTTTCCACACTTTGACTATTGTTGACAGTGCTGCTATAAACATTGGGGTGCATGTGCCCCTCAAAACAGCACAACTGTATCCCTTGGATATACACCTAGTAGTGCAATTGCTGGGTCCATTATTATTGTTTTTAATCAACGTTCACTTATATTCACTCAATTTAGGCTTATTAGAGCTTTTCATTCATTCCTATCATTCTGTGCTTCAATCTGGATCATTTTCCTCCTACCTAAACTACTATCTTTGCTGGATCTTAGTAGTGCAGGCCTATCAGCAATAAATTCTATCAGCCTTTGTTTGTATGAAAAAATATTATTTCAATTTAATTTTTAAAATGTATTTTCATTGGGGCGCATGGGTGGCTCAGTTGGTTAAGGGTCCAACTTGAGTTTAGGTCATGATCTTGTGGTTCATGAATTTGAGCCCCGTGCTGGGCTCTGTGCTAACAACTCGGACCCTGGAGCCTGCTTCAGATTCTGTGTGTGTGTGTGTCTCTCTCTCTGCCCTTCCCCAGCTCACACTCTGTCCCTCTCTCTCTCTCTCAAAAATAAATAAACATTAAAAAAATTTTTAAAGATATTTTCATTGATAAAGAATTCCAGGTTGGCATTTTTCTGTTTTTTTTTTTCAATACTTTTAATATGCCATTCTATGTCTTTGAGTTCATACTTGGTATTATAGAATCACTGAATATTACTGTTGTTCCCTGAAAAATAACCTTTTTTACTTGGTTGCTTTTGAAATTTTTCTTGTTGTATAATTTAGGGGTTTGCCTGAAATCCCTATGATTTTATCTATCTTCTTGGGGTTCACCAAGTTTCAGGAATTTGCTAATTCCCTTACTATTGTGGAAAATTATTCTACCCTATTGTTTCTCTCCTCCCCTTTTGAGTCTTCATTTACACAGAACCATAATTGTGCCTTAAATGACTCTTAAATGTTGTTCTGTTACTTAGGCTCATAAACGTTAAAGGCTCTTATGTCTTCTGTTATGTAATACCTTTCTTTATCTCTGATAAGTTTCTTTGCTTAGAAATCTGCTCTGGCCGAAATTTATATAGCTTATACCTGCTTTCTTTTGATTAGTGTTAACGTGGTGTATTTTTCTCCATCCATTTACTTTGAATTTTTATGTGTCTTTACATTTAAAGTGGGTTTCTTATAGATAATATATATTTAGGTCATGTTTTTTGATCTACTTTAACAATAGACGTCTTTTTTTATATGTATTTATTTTTGAGAGAGAGAGAGAGAGTGAGCGGGGGAGGTGCACAGAAAGAAAGAGGGAGGCAGAGGATCCAAAGCAGGCTCTGTGCTGACAGCCCCCAGTGCGGGGCTCCAACCCATCAACCATGAGATCATGACCTGAGCTGAAGTCAGACACTTAACCGACTGAGCCATGCAGGTGCCCCCAACAATATAGGTCTTTTAATTAGTACATTTAGACCACTGGTGTTCAGAATGATTACTGATACAGTTGGATTAACATCTATCATATCTATTAGTGTTTTCTATTTGTTGTCCTTGTTCTTTGTTCCTATTTTTGTTTTCTACTCTTCTTCTGTTTTTGTGGTTTTGAGAATTTTTATCATTCTACTTTCTTTCTTTTCTTAGAATATCAGTTATACTTCTTTTTCAACTTTTTTTAATGGTTGCCCTAGAGTTTGCAATATACATTTTACATCTAACCCAAGTTCACTTCCAAATAACATTACACCACTTCACAGATACCTTATAATTATGAGTACCTTATGATAATAAAATAACCCCAATTCCTCTGTCCCTTGTATCATTGCTGTCATTCATTTATATATATGCATATATACACATACATAAAATACACATATGCACATATAATTGAATACATTGTTGCTATCATTATTCTTTTTTTTTTTTAATTTGTTTTTTCAACTTTTTTTTTTAATTTATTTTTGGTACAGAGAGAGACAGAGCATGAACGGGGGAGGGGCAGAGAGAGAGGGAGACACAGAATCGGAAACAGGCTCCAGGCTCCGAGCCATCGGCCCAGAGCCTGACGCGGGACTCGAACTCACAGACCGCGAGATCGTGACCTGGCTGAAGTCGGACGCTTAACTGACTGCGCCACCCAGGCGCCCCTGATTATTCTAAACTACTATCTGTTAGATCGAATAAAAAGAAAAATAAAAGCTTTTAATTTTACCTTCACTTATGCCTTCTTCAGTGCTCTTCCTTTCTTTATGTAGATCTGAGTTTCTGACCTACACTACTATTCTTCTCTTTAGAGAACTTCTTTTAACATTTCTTGTACATCAGGTCTAGTGGCAACAAGTTCCCTCAACTTTTGTCTGAAAAAGTCTTTACTTTCCTTCACTTTTGGAGGATAATTTCAAAGGGTACAGAATTCTAGGTTGGCGTTCTTTTGTTTTTTTTCCTCACAATACTTTAAATGTTTCATTCTACTCACATGGTTTCTGAGGAAAAGTTTCATGTCATAATTATTTTGTTCTTTTATATGTAAGATTTTTTTTTCCCTTTTGGCTTCTTTAATGATTTTTTTTTATCTTTAAATTTCTGTAATTTGAAAACAATATGCCTAGGTATTGTTCTTTTGGTATTTATCCTGTTTGGTGTTCTATGAGCTTCCTGGATCTATGGTTTGGTGTCTGATACTAATTTGAGACGATTCTTGGTCATTATTGTTTCAAATATTTCTTCTATTCCTTCTCTCTCTTTTTTTTAATTAAAAAAAAATTTTTTTGATATGAAATTTATTGTCAAATTGGTTTCCATACAATACCCAGTGCTCATCCCAAAAGGTGCCCTCCTCAATGCCCATCACCCACCCCCCCCTTCCACCCCCCACCAACCCTCAGTTTATTCTCAGTTTTTAAGAGTCTCTTATGGTTTGGCTCCCTCCCTCTCTAACTTTTTTTCCTCCTCCTCCCACACTGTCTTCTGTTAAGTTTCTCAGGATCCACGTAAGAGTGAAAACATATGGTATCTGTCTTTCTCTGTATGACTTCCTTCTCACTTTCTTCTCTTTCTGGTATTCCTTTTGTATTTGCCCCACAGTCCTTGGGTATTTGATTCTGCTTTTTCAATCTTTGTTCTCTTTGTTTTTCAGTTTTGAAGATTTCTCATACTCAAGCTAAGACAGTCTTTCCTCAGTTGCATCCAGCCTACTGATGAGCCTGTTAAAGGCACTCTTCATTTCTGTTACAGTGCTTTTTATCAAGAGCATTTATTTTTGTTTTATTATTTTAGGACTTCCACCTCTCTGCTTACACTGCCCATCCATTCTTGCATGTTGTCTACTTAATCAATTAGAACCCTTGGCATACTAATCATAGTTGTTTTAAATTCCCAATCTGGTAATTCCAACCTCCCTATCTGATTCTGATAAATTTCTGTCTATCCAAATTGTGTCTTTTACCTTTTGGTATGCCTTACAATTTTAAGAAGTGCCAGGACATACCTGGTAAAAGAAGCTACCGTAAATAGGTCTTTAATAATGGTGCTGAGGTGTGAGGGGAGAAGTGTTCTATAGTCCTGTGATCAGGTCTCAGTCTTTCAGTGTGAATCTGGATCTGCAACTACTCAGGTTAGTTTAGGTAGTTCTATATTTTATCCCTGAATTCCTAGTGCCTAACAAAGTACCTGGTATATAGTGGCTGTTTAAAAAGTGTTTATGAATGAATGAGCAAACGGTCAATTAATGGTCAATCCAAATTGCTTAGTCATGTTAATTTACAACATATAAATGGCATTCAAAACCAGCTCTAAATGTATAATGAGAAAATTCTGTAGTACCATATACTTTGAGACCTCCCACATTTAAATCATAAAGAATGATTTCTTACCAGCTCTTCTTAGACCTATATGGTGAGTTAGGGATACGGAAGATGACCTTTGCTTCGGCATTGTCAGTAGATTTGAACTTAAAGGCCCATTTAGATAGGATCCTTGACTAAAAGGGAAAGATAACAAATTAACAATGTTAAAGCCATGGGAAATTTCCTCTTTTTTTTATTCATGGTCTTCAGTTCAACTAGGAAATACCTGCTTATACAGAATTTAGACATCTATCTAGTTGCTTAAAGGCCTAAAGCAGGAGCCAGCAAATGTTTTCTATAAAGGACCAAGTAGTAAATAAATACTTTTAGCTTTGCAGGCCACAAGGTCTCCACTGCAGCTACTTAACTCTGCCACTGTAGCATAAAAGCAGCCACAGATAATAATAAATACAACTGTGTTTCAATATAATTTAATTTGCAAAAACAGCTATGGACCACATTAGGTCCATAGGCTGTAGTTTGCTGAACCCTGGTATAAAGCAGGTTATCAATATCATCTGGAGGACTTCTTAGAACACAGACTGCTAGTTCTACCTCCAGGGTTTCTGATTCAGTAGGTCTGGCGTAGGGCCAGTAATCTGCATTTCTAATAAGTTCACAGATGATGCTGACATTGCTGGGTCCAGGGACCTCACTGAGAATCACTGGCTAACATATAGAGTTTTCACTCTCTTCTGTTCCCTCTCTTCACAGGTATCGATTACCCCCTAACTCAGTCATTTCCTATAACTGAAATATTTACTATAGGTTTTAGGGCTCTTATAAAGAAATTAAATGTAGGTTGGCAATCACACAGTACAGCCATGCGATGTATAAAATGCAACTTAAAATAAAATATATTTGAAAGCTTCCCAGTGCCAAGCGTGTAGCAAGGACACCATAAATTTTACCTTCTTTTTCTTCAATGTTCACCGTTTTCTTTTGTCAGTAAACTCCTGATGAGGGCACGTGGACACAGGCTCCAGGGCAGATCTAGATTCTCTCCTTCTCACTCGGTACTTTTTAGTACAGCCCAAGTTCTCAATAAGCTCTTCCCCAACTGCTTCATCTTTCCTGCACCTCCCTACCCATTACTGCAGGAAGGCCTATTTCTTCTGTGACTTAAAGGTTTTGGTTCATGTCTCCATTACAAATTCATCCACAATGTATTATAATTTCACTGCTTACAGATTCTTTTCCCTCATTAATTTGTGATTCTTTTTAGGGGCTATAAAGACATATCTCTGCATTGACAGTGGAGATAGCACAGTGCCTGATAAACGTGTTCAACAGTTATTTGTGGAATAAGTGAATGCTCTTTTCGTTAGGTTCCTAGTCTCAATTTTTTAGAGAACAGGTCACTTTTGCTCCCCAACTCTGAGTGGATGGACTCTTTTTCTTTTACCAACTCCTGCCTTGAGCCTCTCCTTGGACCTTTTTCTAAAATCTAGTTTCTTCTATATCCCCAAGGGAGAAAAAAAATTCTGTACTATAGAAACAGAAGGCATGTAAAATCAGTTAGAACCATTTCACTAAAACTTCCTTGTTGACATTAACAAAAATTATAACAAAAGCACTATTTTGAGTATTTATTATGTACCATTCATTGTTTTATGTCGTTTACATACTTTATCTTTTCTAGTCTCCTATATGACAGACAAGGAAACTGAGGCTTGAAGAGGCTAAGTAATGTCCCCCAATTCACACAGCTAAAATTCACAGTGCCAGAACTAAAATTCAATCTCCAATTTCTTTGACTCTAAATGGAGAAAAGCATTTACTCTCTACCTATTTTTAAAAAACGTTTATTTTGAGAGAAAAAGAGAGAGCACACGTGCGAGCCAGGGAGAGGCAGAGAGACAGGGAGACAAAGAATCTGAAGAAGGCTCCATGTCCTTAGTGCAGAGCCCAGCATGGGGCTTGAACTCACGAACCATGAGATCATGACCAGAGCTGGAACCAAGAGTCTGACACTCAACTGACTGAGCCATCAGGTGCCCCTCTACCTGTATTTTTAAAAGGTCTTCCCAGGGGTGCCTGGGTAGCTCAGTCGGTTGAGCATCCGACTTCGGCTCAGGTCATGATCTCATGGTTCATGAGTTTGAGCCCTGCATTGGGTTCTGTGCTGACAGCTCAGAGCCTGGAGCCTGCTTCGGATTCTGTGTGTCCTTCTCTCTCTCTGCCCCTCCCCCGCTCATGCTCTGTCTCTCAAAAATAAATATATGTTAAAAAAATTTTTTTTTAATTAAAAGGTCTTCCCACACCTTCCACAAAATAATTCTCATTCTATCTTGGTGTGTTTCTCCATCTGTAAAATTAGAGTTTTAGAAGTGAGGAGTTTTAAATTAACATCCAGCTGTTGAAGTCTATCATATTTTATTCTCAAGCCAGTAGTAATGATGATTTGTTGATGATGTCACAAAAAGAAACAATATTCAAATAATACCACCCAATAAACTCATGTCCCTGCTAAGGCTCAATCATTCTTTGTATTTGAGTACTCTTTGCTTATGCGTGGAGTTGGGGAGATTGAGAAAGGGCAATAACAGTACCGCTCAGGGCAATATTCAACCGAAAATTTGTGTGCTCTACTGAAATTTACTTTCCGGTTAATATTCAAAACAAAGATAGGACTTTTTCCTTTTAAAAACAGACCCACTGCACTGTTCCATAGTTTTCTACCTTGATCCAGGGCCTTCTAATAATTGAAGTATACCATACGTTCAGTTAGCTGTTCAGAATTGAGAGGTACAGGTCAAATTACAGGTTTTCACCTACTTCCAGAATTGTCTCATTAATTCCTAGCCTCAAACCAGATAAATATACACTCCAATGAGATTACATAAAACAATCCTGAAGAAAACAGGGGACAAGAAGGATAGGAGTCCCAAAGATTATCAATAGTTGGTAGGAGGATGATTAAAGTCAGACTTAGGAATCATTACAAAAGAATGCCAAAAGTTATGGTCACAGAGTTAAGTGATATGTTAAGAATTGATTTTTATTTTATTTTATTTTTTATTTTATTTTTTTAAAAAATTTTTTTTTTCAACATTTATTTATTTTTGGGACAGAGAGAGACAGAGCATGAACGGGGGAGGGGCAGAGAGAGAGGGAGACACAGAATCGGAAACAGGCTCCAGGCTCTGAGCCATCAGCCCAGAGCCCGACGCGGGGCTCGAACTCACGGACCGCGAGATCGTGACCTGGCTGAAGTCGGACGCTCAACCGACTGCGCCACCCAGGCGCCCCAAGAATTGATTTTTAGATAACCCATGCCAATTACCTTGGTAAGATTTATATCAGTGTGTGTGTGTGTGTGTGTGTGTGTGTGAGAGAGAGAGAGAGAGAGAGAGAGAGAGAGAGAGAGAGAGAGAGAGAAGCAGCAACTATATAAACTTGTTGGCTGTATGATGTCTATATTTGGAGCTATTCTCTTAAGAAACTGAGTGAGGGGAGACCATTAGCCCTCTTGAATCTCTGTAGTTCAAATAGGGTCCAGGCACTGGTATAAATCTCTAATAAATTATGAGACACAGAATTGAGAAGCTGGTTCCCTAGTACATTATTTAGGAAATATAGTTCCTAACAAGTTATTAGATTTAATTACAGAGAAGTTATGGAGACAAATGATGAATAGGGGACTAGGTTAAAGGCAAATCTCTTTATTGTAGAGTAACTATAGTTGATAGTCCATGCAGTTTTGGGACATGACTTGCCTATTTCTCCCCAGGGAAAGTCTGTTGAAAGAAAGTGAGCTGTGGGGCACCTGGGTGGCTCAGTCTGTTAAGCGTTTGACTCTTGATTTTGGCTCAGGTCATGATCTCACAGTTTGTGAGATCGAGTCCCACGTTGGGCTCTGCATTGACAGTGTGGAGCCTGCTTGGGGTCTTCTCTCTCCCTCTCTGTCTGCCCCTCCTCTGTTCATACGTGCTCAAATAGAAATAAACTTAAAAATTTTTTTTTAAAAAAGGAAGGGAGCTATGAGGTCTGAATATGTGTTCTGTTTGTCCACAGGGAGGGCTGGGTCCTAGCAGTCAGTCCAAAGATACAAGTTTAGCCATTTTTTAACCATAGCTACTAATACTGGAACTCAGAGATGCATAATCCAATTGTCAGCTAACCCACATTTCCTGGAACTTCCTGACCAGCGAACCTTCATCCTAGGTCTGAAACTTAAGCAGAAGTCACCATCAACCATCACAATATAATACGAACACCTTACTCCTGCAAGATGCTTGTTAGGCAGCTATTTATCTTCAAGATCCATTTTACTGCAATCCCAAACTCATCACAGTAATAAAGCAGGCCTCAGAAGAGCAGTAATGACTAACACATGGTTGAAAGTGAAAGTGCCATGAAAGGCAAAGAAAAGGTGTTAAGGAGATTCAGAGGTGAAACAGATTGCTTCTCCTTGGAAACTGAGAGAGGAGGGTATCAGGGTGTTATTCTTAAGAGGTCACATCTGAGCCCAATCTTGAACGCTGTAGAAGCATGAGGCCGAGAAGACCTGTTCAAGGTAGAGAGAACAACTGCAGGAGTGAGGTGGGGG